CATTTTCAGTTGGGTTATTGTGTTTTTTAGCCCCAGAATTTCTACTTGGTTCCTTTTTAGTTTTGTTCGTACCATCTGTTTATATATCATTTGCCTGATTTTACTTATTGTATGTCTATTTCTAGTCTACTGAGCATTTTTATGGCAATTATTTTAAATTCTTTGTTAAACAATCATAGATCTGTGTTTTGATAGGGTTGGTTTCTGGAATTATATTTTGTGTTTTGATGGGTTGTGTTTGTTTCTTTGTATGCCTTGTGATTTTTTGTTGTTGTTCTTGTTGAGACTTGAACATTTGAAAAAACAACCTCTACAAATCTTTAGAGAGTTTTGCTGATCAGTGCAAATAGATATTCTAAGACCTCTTAAACCTTTTCTGAGAATGTGCATGTGCTTTTAATTATTGCATTTTCTCTAAGCAATTTGTCCCTGTTTCTTCCCAGAAGCCCATAATCTTTTACTCTGGTGGCTGTCCACAAAACCGAGTCTTTAATATGTGAGTTTATCTGCTATCAGTTTTCAAACCAGGCTCCCATTACTGTCAGCACTCCCAAGTCAGGTGAGACAAATCTAGACCCTCAGGCAGTCACTAGAATACCAAGAATTTTAGACTCTCAGTATATTCTTTTTGCAGCCCAAGGCAGGACCCCTAGTGTGCTAGGGTGTCTCCCCATTATTATTATGATAGGGTCAAGTAAGGAGGGAAGTAGACAGGCACACAGAGTGCTGCAAATTTTTCTACCACTTTCACTAGAATCACTTTTTGGTTTTATATTGATCTGGGTATGTTATGGCTTATATCTAAATGTTCCTCCATAGCCTCATGTGGTCATAGTTGGAGCTTTTAGAAGGTGGCTGCAAGTAGAGTACATGGTGCTAGGACTAAGGGAGCCCCACCCTGGGTGTGAATGCTATCTGCCCTAAGGTCGTGTAGCTTGGAGAGAATGTAAGACACAGAAAGAGGATAGAATGTCAAGACCTAAAGAGGGCAGCTGTTTTTCGTGAGTATTGCTTGTTGCTTCCTACTTTGCCATTTTGCTGCCTTCTGCCAACCGTCAACTGTTTGTCTTTTGCAGTGCCCCTCTACCATGCTACCCCGGGCTGGAGCTAGCCAACTATGGATTAAAACCTCTACAAAGTGTGAGCCAAAGAAACCTTTTACTTTAGTGTTAAGTGTTTTGTCTCAGCAATGAGAAAAAGTAACCAAGACAGGGTGTTAGAAATTTGTACCTGCCTTCTACAAATATTCTTACAAAGATATTCCAGTCTGTATGCTTTTGTTAGTAACTCAGTGTCTTTGAAAGACCAAGGTCCTAAAACCTTTTAGCCTGCCATCTTGCTTAAGTTACCTTATTTGGTTCATTTTGGAGAGATTATATAACTGTTAATTATAGTAATTCTCCATGTTTTCATCCATTTTGTCTATCTTTACTCAACTTTTTAATGATTTTATTTAATTTTTAAATTTCATAAGAATAGTAGGAAAATAATACATTGCATGTTATCTTTAAAGTAGTTGTTCAGAATATAAGATATAGACATAAAAATTTCTTTAGTTGATATTAGTACAAACCTTCATTTTCAGTGAGCTCAGAGATATTAATAGTATAATTTACTTGCATTTTTTCCTTTTCCCCTTCATCCTTTCCCCTTTCCTAATACCTTTTCCTTTTGAACAATTTCTTCCTATTTCACAATATCTATTGTACATTTTGGATCTTATTTACCCTTTCAGTTTCTTACACTGGGAGACAATACATTGTTTATACATGAATTTGATTTCACTTAAGAGTATGGTCTCAAGTTGTATGCATTTCCCAATAAAAGTCTCAAGTTTATGCTTTATAGCTGAGGGTGTTCCATTATATAAAAATACCACATCTTTTTTTATCCATTCCTCCATTGATGGACATTTGTGTTGTTTCCAAGATTTAGCTATTACAAATTGTGCTGTTGTAAACATGGTTGCACATATATCACTGAGGCATGACATTTTTAACTCTTAGGAGAAGATACGTAGAAGGAGAATAGCTTGGTCAAACAGAACCTCAAACCCTAGTTTTTGAGAAATCTCTACACTGATTTCCACAGTGGTTGCACCAGTCTACACTCTCACCAACATTGCAGAAGGATTCCTTTTTCCCAGAGCCCCACCAGCATTTGTTATTGGTTAATTTCTTGATGCTAGCTGTTCTTTTTTGAAGCGAAACAGAATCTCAGTATTGTTTTAGTTTGCATCTCTCGAATGAACAATGTTGAACTTTTTTTCATATATATATGCCTGTCTCTGGTTCACAGAAGCAGGTTGGCTTCTTGATTCTTTTCCTGGTCTGCATGGCTGCCACTGACTCTCATATATTTATTTACCATTTGTATTTCTTCATCTGAGAAATGTATAGTCATCTCAGTTGCATCTTTGAATTTGGGGTGTATGATTTTTTTCAGTTGTTTATATCCTCTAGATAGAAGTCCTTTGTCCGAGGGATACTTGCCTAAAATATTTTCCCTCTTTGTGAGTTGTCTTTTCACGCTGTTTGGTGGTTTCTTTTGATGTGCAAAAGTTTTATAATAGCCGAGATTCATAAAAATCATTTTAATAGTGCAAATTTCTTACTAATTCCAGTATTTGTGTCATCTGTAAGTGTTTTTCTACTGAGTTTTTCTCTTGATCATCTGTTATACTTTTTCTTGTGTGGCAGAGTTATAGAGTGAATTGTAGACATCAGGCTCAGTATTATTCTCCAGAGAGAGCATGCCCTTTCATGAATCAGCCTGCTGGCATAGGAGGCTTCCATCCCATCAGAAGCATATACATTAGAACTGCTGCTATTTTATTTATTTTCTGGTTTACTCTTGTTTACAGGGATAATGGTATTGGAAATGTCTTGCCTTATGATTATTCCATTTCCTGCCTCCTAGCAAATACATGACATAGTGAAGAGCTCTCTTTCTAGTTTCTAGCTCAAATCTCAGCTTCCTGTGCTTTCATAGTCTTAGCAAGTTCTGTGGATTAAAATTGGCAGGAGAGGGGAATTATGTCTATTTTTAAGGCACCTGCAAATTACATTCTGTCACATAGTCTCACATGATTGTTATAAGTGCTATTAGTTTCTCTTTATCCCAGCAAAGTTCAACTAGTATGGCAAGCACAATCCTGTATCTGTCTATCCCCCTAGATAAGACAGATACTTTTGGGGAGAAGAATGGCCACTGGTCTGTAACTCATCTGCTTATTCCTCTCTAGAATATAATTCATTTAAACTTAACCTTTGTATTCTCTGATGGTTCATTTTTTTAAAAAAATCTGTTCTTGTTTTATGATTAAAGAAATGATTGTTGGTGAGATTCTTGTAATAGAATTACCTAAGATCACCGTAATTTAGTTAAGCACTGAGATTATTCAGAGTTGAGCTTTCAGTCCTTGTATAGTCTAATCTGTTTTTACTCCTAATATGTGTGTGTGTGTGCGTGTGTGTGTGTGTGTGTGTGTGTGTGTGTGTGTGTATACTATTGAACAATTTACCAGGGTATCTCTGCCTGCTCTTCCTGAACCTAGACCCGTAAGTCCTTTGAAAACTCTCTTCAATTTTTTATCCTATATGTTTCCTCCTCTGGAATCAGAAGAGTTCTTTCCAGAAAAAATTGTCCCTGTTAGGCTCATCTCTTTGGATTTTTTCTCCTTTCCCAGTTGTTGACCCTGTAATTACTCATATGAGTAGCTCTCCAGTGAGTTCTTAGCAATTTTCTCTCTCTTTTTCTCTCTCTGCTTCCCTCTATTTCTCTCCCTCTTTCCCTCTCTGTCCCTGTTTGTCCCTTTCCTTTCCTTTCCTTTCCTTTCTCTCCTTCTCTCACTCCCTCTTACCCCCAGCTATTCTAGTTACATCATTGGTTTTGACTATCTATTTCATTAACAGAAGCAGAATCTCTTCCTAAGTATTATATCTCTGTCTACTTTTGTCCTACAATTGTAGTTTTTGAATAAACTGACAGAAGCTCTAGGAATTCCTGCTAAGAATTTGTAGAGATACATGTCCAACCCCAATACAGTAGACCATGGAACCATTTCTGCTCATGACAAACCTTGGTAAGTAAACCAGTAGCAGCAGATTGACTTTTTCAATGTATGTGGGACCATCAGTAATAATAGTTATTGTGTATTACTCAAAAGGGCTTTCTTCAAGCAACCTAGCATTTATGGTACATTCTTTCGTGAGTCCTTCTTTGGGATCTTAGGTAGGCTGAAGGGAGGGGTGGTTATAATTCACCATCATTTGTATTCCATCTAGGCTTTACCAGGGGGCCTAGACAGTACTCTGCTGGGTAGAGAAGAGAGAACAGGGAACCAGACCTTATTTTGTTTTACTGTCATGTGCCAATGAGACATCATGGTGCCAAGGATCCTGAACTTGGATTTTTCAGTGGACCCACTCCAGGTGGAGTTTAGGTGTCTCTGAATGAGAAGTGTATAGCTTCAGTTATAAGGACATCTGTTTCTCCCACTCTCGCATGAAAGTGCAAATTTATGAGAATTTCTTCTCAAGGGAGAGAATGGGAAATAAGGGCTACTGGTGATCAAGTTCTGTATAATGAATTTGATGGAGTCACTGAAAAGTCTTCACTTCCTCTTCCCCAGGCTTTGTGATCAATTTGTTCAACCTCACTGGCAGTGCTCCTGGCTGAGAATAATGTTCAGTTATTTCCTTTTTCTGGGTAATAGGCAATAAGGACCTTGAATTCCTAAAGGCTTGTGTCAAGTTTTCAGAAGTGGATTCATATTGTGTATGGAACTAGTCAATACTACTCTGCAAATGGGCTCCCAATTTGTTGCCTAGATGAACACAGTTTGAACTCTAGCCACTTTGAATTTTAATCAGTTAATGAATTACAGGAATGTTTGGTTTTTGAAGTATGCCATACCCTGGAGTTCCAGTTAAAATTATAGGCAATTCCTGATTACAACTAAAGACTCCAAGCTGACCTCTGTCCTGGTTGCCTTGCAGATATGAGAGAATTGAAATTCCAATCCATATCATACCTCATGTCACCATTGGGAAAGTGTGTCTTGAATCAGCAGTAGAGCTTCCCAAGATCCTGTGCCAGGAGGAGCAAGATGCCTATCGGAGGATTCACAGGTGGAGACCCTATTGTCCTCTTCTCTATTTCTCAGAGCCCAGTACTTTTGTCTGTAGCGGCTCACGTCTGGAGCCCCCTTTCCTTTCATCTGCAAGAAAGCATTATTGCAGTCTTTAATTGTGACTTTTTTTTACACTTGATAACAGTCTCTTTAATATATTTTTCTCTCTTGATACAGGTTCTGTACTTCAAGGGAGAGGATATTTTTTTTTAGATTATGAAAATAAGATAAACCATAACATCTTAGTAGCCCAGTTACCAAACCCTAGGTATTGCCCAATAAAACTGTACTGTATCAAGGTTTCAGTAAGAGACAGTAATTTCAAAATTACATCTTTGAATTGCCTCTTGAATTTTTAGAGAAAATTTTTTAAAAATTCACAATAATGGAAACTAGGCATAGTGGCACACACTTATAATCCCAGCTACTTGGGAGGCTGAGGCAAAAAGATTACAGATTGGTAGTCAACCTGACAACAAATTAAGACCCTGTCTTAAAATTTAAAAAATAATATTAAGGGGAATTAAATCATACAATTTTGTCTAATGTAGTTTATCATTTTTGTTACAGACCATGACCATTCGGTTTTCCTTTCAGTGCTGCTTTGCTACTAACCTAAGCTGTTTTATCCTTTTAGCCTTACACACCTGGACTCAGTAACCAAAATCCATAATGGCTCAGGTAAGATTTTTTTCTTGACCTCTGAAATACTCTCCCAACAGAAGCAAATTTAGTTGAAGTGAAGAGTACAAGTTGTCTTTACTCTTGGCATTTCTTTTAACCCTGTAGGTCATCAAATCTTGGAAATACAACCTAGAGTAGGGGAGGAAAAAAGACGTTTTGACTAAGGGTGGTGACATGGGCTATAAAGTTGTCAAAATTCATTGTACTGTATGCTTTAAATTGACTTATTTTATTGCCTGTAAATTAGAACCCAGTAAAGCTCATCATAAAGTGAAAAAACAGGAGAAAATATGAGTATGTTTTTCAAACTCTAGGGAGACTAACACTTAAGGATAATCTGAAATTACATACTCATAAAACATTGACTAAATAGTAAAAGCTTTTATAAACTCCTGCAGAAAAATTAAAAGATTAATTACAATCTTTAAAAGAAGTATAGATTAAGATAAAGTTAGCAGTTTTTTGTCCTTTGGCAAAGATTAAATAGAGAAATAATCAGATAAGGAAATAAGGGTTAGGGTTAGAGTGAACCCTATACCTGTTCCAGGAATCCTATCCCTGGAGGTATACAATTTGGTATGATATGGAAAATACTTAAGTTTTAAAATACATTCTGATTTATATATAGCAATTCCACTTAAACACAATCCACATATTAGCACACAGTTAAATATCACTGAGAATCAGTCAATAAGGGACTTATTAAATTGGTACAGCCATTCAGATGAATATTTTGCAGCCTTTAAGAAGGAACTCTGGAACCCAGCTGTAGTGGTGAATGTTTGTAATCTTCGTACTATGGGAGGCTGAGGCAAGAAGATTGCAAGTTTGGGCCCTGTCTGTAGGGCTTAGTGATTTAATGTGATCCTGTCTCAGAATAAAATATAGAAAAGTGTGGAGACATAGTTCAGTGTGAAGGTCCTGGGCTCAATCCTTAGTATAAGTGCAAAAAAAAGCAAAAGAGAGAGCTAGATTTTTTTCATTGACACAGAAAGATGTCTATGATACACTGTTATGTAGGGGAAAAGAGAACTTCTCAGGTGAGTAGAATTAATGTTTCCCATAGTGTTTCTGAAATCGAACTTTCAAAGGCAGAGTTATAGCTCTTTAGGAGTCATTTACAGTGTAGGAATGTCTGAAGGGCTGGGAAGGCAGCACTTCTTTATTCTTCTTTTAGTCCTTTTACCAAAAGGAATAAAAAGCTGTCTTTTTGCTTTCCACATAGCCAAACGCTCTTCTCTATCTCATGGACTTAGAAGGAATTCAGATGCCTCAGAACAGGTGTCTTCTTTGCTCAGCTTTTCTGTCTTTCCCCTAGCTGGCCACAGAAAATCACTTACCAGACATATTTGTTGCACTTTTTCTACTTCCTACTCCAACCCCTTTGTCTGTGCTCACAATTGAGGCACTATTGGTGGTGAGCTCATCTATGTTTCTCCCTTTGAAGTGTTTACCAAGAATCTGTGCAGTCAAATGTCGGCAGTCAGCGGGCCTCTCCTGCAGTGGTTGGAAGACAGACTGGAGCAAAATCAACAGCATTTGCAGGAGTTACAACAAGAAAAGGAAGAGCTTCTGCAAGAACTTTCTTCCTTAGACTGAAGCACCTGACAAAAGAGGGTATTTTAAAAAATTTATATACCAAATATGGCTCACAATTGCACACAACTTTGGTGTAAGGCAGGCAGTAGGGCAGTAATTTTATATTGCTTTATATATGCAAATACACAAGATGCTCTTCCTAAAAATTACTCAAGAGATTATTGAACCCTTCTACTACTATACCTACCACAGCAGATGCATTAAGTAGTATATAAAATTTATTTTTTAAAGGCTATCAAAGGTACATTGACAAGTCTGTCTTGTAATGAAATGTCTCTGAAGTATATTCTAAATGCTATTTTCCCTTCTTAAACTTGTAAGTCTTTATTTCCATTTTCAGTTGTATCCACCCTCCACATGAAACTAAAGAAATAAGCATATTTTATGTTTCTACTTGTAGTTATGATGCTTATATTAGACAAATTAAGGACATGAGGTTTAGTGTAAGGAAGTGTAGAGGGCTCTTCGACACCTCCCCTCTATTTTTTGCTCTTATTGAGAAGCATATGTCTCATGGGTCCTTCTTGATCTCTTCAGTATATAGTCTGAGACAGTATCAGTCTTAAATCCCAGTGTGTTCCCTTTTTAACCAACCAAATGAATTCTAGCTATTTGACTGTGAAGCAAATTCCTATTGAGCAGATAGCTACCTAGAAAATTCCATTATAATATAAATGTGTTTTCTAAAACATTTAGGATTTAGAATGTAATAAAACTCATGCTTTAAAATTTCAATGACATTATTCCTAGTGTGCGTAGTCATAATTAATAAATATGTGTTTTCAGAAAAAAATTCAGGCCCGTGGGTTGTTGTAATCTAGAAATCTGCATGAATTGCATGCCAATTCTGAGGCACACTTACCATTTGAAAACTGCCCCAGGGCATATGGAATATAAATAGTGGGTTTTGTTCCTAATTTCCCAGTGCCACAGTTCTCTATTTTTTCTCCCTAGAGGACAGATGAAAATACCTCATGTAAAATTAAGATAAGCCAATTTAGATGAAGAAAAAATTGGAGAATTCACATTACTTGACTTCACCACTTTTACTGTAAAGCTACAGTAATCAAGATGGCTTGATATTGGCAGAAGGATAGATACAAAGATCAGTGGAACAGAAGATGGAACCCAGAAATAGATTCACATAAATATGCCCAACTAATTTTGACAGAATTCAAAAGCAGTTTAATGCAAAGATACACTTTTCAAAAAATCATGCTGCAGAAATCAAATATGCATAGGCAAAAAAACAAAACAAAATTCAAACCTCACACATGCTATAAAACTTACAAGATATATCACTTACTTAAATGTAAGATGTAAAGCTATAAAACTTTTAGTGAAAAAAGTCAGCAGAAAAATCTTCAGGAGATAAGTTATTGGATTTCAACTCAAAAGTATGATTCATATGAGAAAATAGGTAATATATTGGGCTTCATCAAAATTTTAAAAATTGCTCTAAAGAAAAATGTAAGAAGAGGAAAGGACAAGCTACAGTATGAAATTATTTGCAAACCATAGAGTATCTGATCAATGTGGAAATAAATGAAATCAAACTCAACAATAAAATGTTATCCAATTAGAAGATGAGCAAAAGGCATGAAAGGGCATTTCACAGAAGAGGATATATGGATGGTAGATAATCACTTAAAAAGATATTAAACTTTATAAGCCATCAAGAATTGCAGAATAAATCTACAATGCAGTATGACTTATCAGAATGGTTAATGCAAAAATAGAGGAAATGTCAAATGCTGTTAAGGATACAAGCTAGATTGAGGTGTTGATAAGAATGTAAAATGGTATAACTAGTCTGGAAAAGAGTTGGGAAATGTCTTCTAAAATTAAACATACTATATAACCGAGAAAATGTACTTCTGGACATTTATCCCAGAGAAATGAAAAACTTTGTTGGCATAGTAACTTGTACAAAAGTTTTCATAGTAGCTTTATTCAAAACCTGGAAACAATGCAGATGTCCTGCAGCAGGTGACACAAGGAGTTCCTGTGAGCTAATGGAGTAGGGTTTTTTTGGTCTTAATTGTGGTGTTGACCACATGAATTTATACTTGCTAAACAAGTCATCTCTACCCTCAGATACTATGCTGCAATGGAAAAGAACAGACTATTATTTTTTTTTGAGACAAGATCTCTCTATGCAGTTCAGGCCGGACTTGAGCTCACTTTGTAGCCCAGGCTGGTCTTGAACTTGCAACGATTTTCCTGCCTCAACCTCCCGAGTGCTGGGATTACAGGCATGAGCCAACAAGCCCAGCGGAACAGACTATTATTACACACAACTTAGATAAACCTTGGGGGTATTAATGGTTATTTTAAAAACAATATTAAAAGATCACATTATATGACTGCATTTTTTACAACATTCTTGAAATATCAAAATTATAGGAATGAAGACCAGACTAATGATTGACAGAGATGGGGAGTAGGTGGAACATGGCTTCTGTGTGACTCTACAGAGATAATACAAGGAGTTCCTTTGTGCTGATGGAGCAGTTTTTTAATCTTAATTATGGTGTTAACACATGATTTTCTACTTATGCTAAAGCTGTATGATCTGTACATACATAAATGCATGCATGTAGAATCCAGTGAAACTGAATAAAGTGTGTAGCCTGCTAAACAGTATTCTACCATTGTCACTGGTTGACTTGAAAGTTTTACTACATTTGTGGAAGAGCTTATCATTGGAAGAAACTGGGCAAAAATACATGGGACTCTACATAGAGGTAAGACAAATTGGTAAAGGAGCAAGAGTAACAATACAGCTTGTTGCAGTTACCATTCCTCATAATGATCAACATTTTTAAAAGGCTGAACACTGAGCTAAAAGGAATCTTGGTTGTCATCTACCCTAATCTCATTTTATTACACAAAGATAATAGAGCATAGAAAGAAAAAGGGACTTGTGTTCAAGAGTGGCCTATAAAATGCATCAATTTATTTCCTCTCAGATGTTCTTTTTATCAACCTTTTATTTCATAAAATAGTACCCTATTCCCTATTTACTTAAAATTTATAAATGTTTATTCCGCAGTAATTATAGACTTTGAAAAAGTTGCAAAACTAGTAGAGTCCCATGAGATAAGTTTTTCAGTGTCAGACATTATTTACAAACATGTAAAAAGGGAGCCCATAAATAAACCCAAATGTACAGTAAACTGTCAATAAAATTGCCAAGACTATTGAATGAGGAAAAAATGTTCTGTCAACAACTGCTGATTGGACAATTGAGTATCCACATACAAAAGAACGAAACTGGACCCTCACCTCCCAACATATATGAGTATTAATTCAAAATGTATCAAAGACTTAAATATTAGAATTTAAAACTACAAAAACCTTAGAAGAAAACATGGCAGTAAATTTTTATGATCCTGCTTTTTGGAAGTAAATTCTTAGATACAACACTGAAAGTACAATCAACAAAGAAAAGAGTAGATAAATTAGATTTCATTTAATTTAAAAAGTTTTGCGCATCAAAATACATCACCAAAAAATTAAAAACTCAGAAAACGAGACAAAATATTTGCAAATCATATATCTAAGATTCTAGTATCCATATTATACAAAGAACACCGAAAAGAACAAAAACCAAATAAAATTTGAAATTAGACGGGGTCTGAATAGACAATTCTGAGGAGTGTGTCTGGTTTTCAAGTAGCACATGAAAATTTGCTGAGCATCATTAGTCATTGGAGAAATACAAATCCAAAGCATAAGATACTACTTCACAACTCATAATAAAAAATTCCAGCGTGGTAGTACCTACTTGCAATTACAGATATTTGTGACTCTGAGGTAGGAGGATCTGTTGATTTGAGTGGTTTGAGACCAGCCCTGGAAACATGGTATCCCACTGTTTGTTTGTTTGTTTCTTAAGTAAGATAATAAGTGCTGGTGGGCATGTGGAGAAGTCAAAGCTCTTGTAAATTGTTGGGGTATCAAGTGGTGCAGTTAATTTGGAAAGTACACTGGTTGTTCTTACTAGAATTAAACATAGGATTATGATAGGATGCAGCAGTTGCATTTATAGGGGTGTAGATCACAAAACTGAAAATAGAAATTCAGACAAAAACTTGTACATGATGCTCAAAAGGTGGGAAACAACCTCATGACCATCAGCCGATGAACTGGTAACACAATATGGGGGTATGGCATATAATGGAATAGTATTCAGGTATAAATAAAAATGAAGTACTGATTCATACTACAGTATGGATGAATCTTTTTGATTTTATTTTAAAGAGGATAAAATTAAATAAAACAGAACAAAGCAGATCAGAAGAAAACAATGTAAGAGACACAGATTTCAAAGCAAGACAACTGCAGATCACTGTCTATCATATTGTCTCTTGTTTTCTTCCAAATGGTTGTCCATATACTTATATACAGTGGATTCATATAAAACAAAATAGTATAAAACTTAACAGAACAGGATGATGAAGGATTTTTAGGTCTTCAAAACCAACAATGGCTGCCATAATGTCTCTTGTTCTCATCAAAATAGCTGTCCATGCCTTCATGTATGTTGAAGTTAAAACACCAAAATCACTCCAAACAAAGAATAATAGTATAATAATAATAGTATTGCTGGATTTCACATCATGATGCTATGGAATCAGAAATGGGTACCTTAGTGTCTCTTTTTCTTCAAAGTAGCTGTTCACTTTGTCATGCATTATATAATCGATTCTCATAAAATGTTTAGGAGAAGTTCTATGCATGCATGAGTCTCTACATGATTACCTATCCTTTCCATATTAGAGGGAAAAACAAGACAAAACAAAGCAAATTCCTAGAAAAACACGAAACGAAAAAGACATATAAACAACAATGGCAAAGAGTGCAGAACAATGAATATATAGGCCTTCCAAACAAGGTGGTGTAAACATAACTAGGGTTGTTATTTTACATAATAATCTTCAAGAGTTCCTCAGATCACCATACAATAATATGCACAGTTGTTCCAATCCTATGAGTGTTAACTATTTTGTTACAAAAATTTATAGAATTTGTAGCACAATCATCTGAGCTATACTAATTTCAGATTATATGTGTTTATATAATTTCAGATATTTTTTCTTTTCCCTTCCTTTTTCTTTCTCCTTGTTTTCCCTGAGATGTTTTTTCAACATGGATGAATCTTAAAAACATTATGCTCAGTCAAAAAAGCTAGACATAAAATGCTACACAATACATGATTCTATTTATGTAAAATGTCCAGAATAAACCAATCCATAGTGATCAGCAGTTGCCAGGGCTTAGGAGGAGGGAATATAGAAAAATGATGGTTAAAACATTAAAAAGTTTCTTTTTAAATCGATCATGGTGATGTAACTGTTCTTAAAAAACATTGAATTTTTCACTTTCAATGGATGAATCATGTTATATATAAAATAATGTATCAATAAAGATTTTCTTAAAACAAGGAAATCCCCTGCAGGGCTTAGGGCTGGGTTGGAACCCTTTGTCTTCTGAGAGAGAAGTGGGGGCAGAACTGGGCCTATGGGGACTTCCACATAGAGATTGGCCAGGAGTCCCCTGGTACCTTTTCCTGGCCATGTACTGGCATTCAGTATGGTGAGGCCATTCTTCCTCCTCGGAGCTTCTGGAGGAGAGTGAAGCCCAGCAGCTTAGCAGAGCCTTCTGCAAAACGGTGTCACCCCACTGGCTGGGCCGCAGAGCCTGCACCCACACTACTTGGCATCACCATTGACTCACCCGGGTTCCTTCTGTGGCTGTGGAAGGAACCTTAGCAACACATTCACGTTGTCCTGTTTGCGAAAGGCATTTATGTTAGCAAAACAAAGGCATTTGGTGACAGTGATTTTTTTAAAAAATTGATTAACACAAAAGTTGAAAGTTTCTATCACAAAGAAATAATACATATTGGAAGAGATACTCTTGCCCAGATATGAAAATTATACAATGTAAATGTATAAAAGCATCACATGGTTCCTCATCAACAGGTACAGTTTTTTATGTGTCAAAAACTTTTAGAGGCAGATATTAAGATAATGTCCACAATGAGAGCCAGATCTGCCCCTGTGTTTACTGCCTTCAGGATACTTGCCTCTAGTAGGCAATCTGTGTGGATGAGGAGGAACAATCACATAAGCCCATGTGCCCTCAGGCCACCACTGGAGATTCTGGATTCCCATGGCAGCCAGCACAAGCCAGGAGAATCAGACAAACATGCCCTTGTGCACTTCCACCATTGGAGGAGTCCCATTGTAGTCACGTAGGGCAAGAGAAGAAGCAGCCCTGCCACCACATTCTCATGGCCATTGCAGAAGCCTCAGTGAAGCTGTGTGGGTCTGGAGAACCCTGCCCCATTCCCCTACATTGTGAAGGTGACAGCCAACATGAGAAGCACCTGGGACCCCACAACTGGCTTGTCAGGAAGGACTCAAGAAAACGTCAAGATGAAGGAGCAAAAGGCAGTCTCAGGCCTCAGCCCACACAGAACAAGTCTGGGAGATATAGACAGCAGAAACTGGAAGTTGCACACTTGAAATCTCTCAAAGGATAGCAAAGTAAAAAAGCAACTTCATGAGGCTGTAAAAGTAATCAGATCAGAAATATCAGGTAAAAGAAATTACAAATGTAATGGAAGAATTGCTGAGCATATCTAAAGAAGATAAAGATAAAAAAACGTAGGAAAATGATGGAAACCTTGAATGAACAATATAAGAAGGAATTATATAATGTGTGAAACAGATTCAGAGAGATATCCAGGAAATTAAAAACTTCATCAAAAGTCAACAAATTGAAAGAGACTGAAGACAAACTTTCAGACCTTGAAAACAGGATTGTGGTTAGCAATCATGAAAGGAAGTCTTAAAAATAACAGGAACCAGGAAATAACAATTGAATGGCTGCAAGATGACTCAGAAAAATAGTGATAGTTGTCAGTGAAAAAGCAGGGGTCAACATAGATGACATAAAAAGGCTATTTACAGAAGTAATAGCAGAAAACTTCCCAAATGTGGTAAAAGGACCTGGCATACAGATAAGCAAGGCATATAGAACTCCAAATAGCCATAACAAATCTACACCCAGACATATAATAATCAAGATCCTGGAAATTCAGCACAAGAACAGACTATTAAATGCTGTTAGAAAAAAGAAACAGGTCACCTATAAAAGAAAACCTATCAGGATCACGCAGACTTCTCAACACAAACCATCAAGTCAAGAAGACTTTGGAGTGAAGTGTTTCAAATCCTGAAAGAAAACAACTTCTAATCCAGATTGATGTACTGTGCAAAACTATCTTTTAAAATTGATGAAAAAGTAAGATACTTCCATGATAACAACTGAAGGAATTCATGACCACCAAACCAACCCTACAAGGAGTCCTAAAGGATAGTCTAAAGAGAGATAAAGATGACCATCATTCCAGGAACAGCAGCAGAGGGGGATTACCAAATAGCACAGACAGGTGAACAGAGGGGAAAACTAGGTGGCCAACAATAGGACGAGAACATACAGAGATGAGCTAATGCATTCCAGTTATAATCATTAATGTAGATGGCCTCAATTCATCAATGAAATGAAACACAGGGAGAGTGGATCAAGAAACAAGATCCATTAACATGCTGTGTACAATAAATATATTTAAC